CTACATGAACCGATGTAGAATTGACGATGTAAATCAGAATCTTTGTAGTAGTGTGTAAGAGATTTTACAATGACATTAATTATATTGGTATGGTAGGTATGGTATACGTATATATAATGTAAAAGTTTATTTTTATTATTATTTAATTACAAATTATTACTATGTACTATAACTTAATTAACTTGAATAATAACTATATAATATACCAATTTACTCTAATCATAACAATTAGTTGAATAGAAAGGTTGACTTTTAAATCCATAATGATGCAAGTATAAAGAAAGAAGTAGTGGTAATCATGACACTAAGATCCAACTCAGAAAAGTTTGATGAAATTGAAAGGTGACAGAAAATAGATAGGAAAAGTGAGAGTATGAAGCAGACAAGGCCTCCAATTCCATGCAGCACGTTCATGCTATCATATGGCCATTAAAGCGCATGCTAGCATGAAAGAAATCTAATAATAAATAACCACAACCACCATTTCTTCTCTTCTCATTTTAACCTTCCTACGTTAGCCAAAACTCACAATATGCAAAATAATAATTATTTTCTATGACCAATCAGCATCAATATCTTTTTGAAGAAACATGAATATGAAAAGGATAAAAAATATGGAAAATTGGAAAAACGGGAAGCTTATATCCTTCACTTGTCACTTGCTTAATATATAATGGACAACGAAATGCTGCAAAAACTTTTATGTTTAGAATTGCTTTCGTATCTGATGACGAAATTAGAGTTTATCTCACGAACCACCAAGTTCGTTGTTATAGTTTAAGTTAAAAAAAGTTTTTCTATATATATATATAAAATGAAGAAGCCGAAAAATATATATTTTTACACTTAAATATATTTCTCAACCAGCAAATTAGTGCATTTTATTTTATTTTAGTCTTTATAAAAACATTTTTTTTTAATTTTCGTGATGGAAAATTTCAAACTGTTTTCTTTTAGCTCTTATCACTATTTTTTTTTATAAAAAAAATAGTGTGGTTAGTAAACTCGCTTTGGATTTATATATAAATAAAAAATGTTTAAATTTTTTTGGATTGAAATATAAATAAATGTCAATCAAGTCAATCTTATTTAATATTTTATAAATAAATGTTGGGTACTGGGCTTCCTTCCTATGTAGAGAAAATGCCCAAAATTGAGAAGTCCATTTAGTATCTCACTTAACTAAGTGGAGAGAGGGTCTGAAGAAAAAAGAGTGAGAAAGAGAGAAAGTTAGAAGTCACTTTGAACACCAGCACTTTGAGAAAGAGGAAGAGAGAAAGTCATTCTCGTTTTTACACAGGACTGTAACATTAAAATCGATACTGCAGATTCGTTCACCGTTGGATTGAGCTAAAAATTTGACAGCAGATTTGGGACACATGGTTCTTCATTTTGAACGGTTGGATCTTTGAAAAGAGGTCTGAGTAGGGAGATATTCAGTTTTCACTATAGCTTTGTATTTGGGATTTTTTCATCTTTCTTGTTCTCTATTTGTAAGCTTTATTGCTTTGTTGTTCGGCTGGGTGTTAGAACTATTTTGTGCAGTTGATTGAGACTCCTTTGTACTATTTGTTGATCATAGTGAAGTTATTTCTTTGGTCTGGACGACTCGTGGTTTTTACCCTTGCTTTGAGGGGTTTTTCACATTAAAAATCTTGGTGTCTTTGTGTGTGATTTTTGGTGATTTATTATTGTTGTTAATTGGTTGTTACTCCTCATAGATTCTTGCAAGTTAGGGAAATTTATTTGCGCTGCGATAACTGTTTGAGTTTGCTCTGTGTTGTTATTGTATTGTTGTTTCCCCATCAGAGTGGTATCAAAGCTCTCTTTTGGCTTTGGTTTGGGGCTATTTGACTTGCTTGAATGATGGAGGCAAATACTAAAATAATTGCTTTGAATGGCACAAATTATCACTTGTGGAAGGACAAGATGAAAGACTTGCTATTTGTGAAGAAAATGCATCTTCCTGTTTTTACTACTCAAAAGCCAGATTCTATGTCTGAAGAAGATTGAGACTTTGAACACCAACAGGTGTGTGGTTTTATTTTGCAATTTGTAGAAGACAGTGTTTATAATCACATTGCAAATGAGACACATGCTAGAACTTTATGGGAGAAGATTGAGTCCTTATATGCTTCTAAATTAGGAAATAATAAATTGTATTTGTTGAATTGTCTGATGAATTTAGAAGTTGTGATGTACAATTTATGGAAGACCAAACCATTGAAGACATTGATAGGGTGGAAAAGACTACAACCGAGAAAGATAGAAATCTGACTGATGTTGATCCTATGCGATTGCATATTCACAATCTGGATAATGTTGATGGTAGTGTTCAACCCGGTGAACAACATGATGATGTTGATGATCAACAGCTTGTAGGTGGATTAGATGTTCTTATTGATGATGACCAGGAGGAGCATGAGATGTCACATGATGAGAATATTGATGATGCACCCGAACCACATCAAGTTCAACTTAGGAGGTCTAATAGACAGAGACAACATTCAACAAGGTATTCTTCTGATGAGTATGTGACCTTGACTGATGGTGGAGAACCTAAATGTTTTGAAGAGGCTTTGGAAAGTGAAGAAAAACAACAGTAGTTGGATGCAATGCAAGATGAGATGAAATCCTTGCATGATAATCACACTTATGACTTGGTGGAAAGAGGGCCTTAGAAAACATATGGATTTTCAGGGTGAAACAAGAAAGTAATTCTACATCTCCAAGGTACAAAGCCAGATTAGTGGAGAAAGGCTTTAGACAGAGAAAGGGTGTTGATTTCAATGAGATTTTCTCACTTGTGGTGAAGATGTCGTCCATTAGAGCAGTTTTGAGTTTGGCAGTTACTCTTGATTTGGAGGTAGAGCAAATGGATGTGAAAACTGCTTTCCTTCATGGTGATTTGGAAGAAGAGATTTATATGAAATAACCTGATGGCTATCAAGTTAAAGGTAAGGAAGACTGTGTATGTAGGCTGAGAAAGAATCTATACGATCTGAAGCAAGCTCCAAGACAGTGGTATAAGAAGTTTGAGTATTTTATGTGTGAGCAAGGCTACAAGAAGACTGCTTCTAATCATTGTGTCTTTGTTTAAAAGTTTTCTGATGATAATGGTGTTGATATGATGACTAAAGCATTGCCAAGAGAAAAATTTGAAGTTTGTTGTGAGATCGCCGATTTGACGATTATCTCCACGTAGTTGTGAAGGGGAGATTGTTGGGTATTAGACTCCCTTCCTATGTGGAGAAAAGGCCCAAAATTGAGAAACCCATTTAATGTCTCATTTAACTAAGTGGAGAGAGGGTCTGAAGAAAAAAGAGTGAGAAAGAGGGAAAGTCAGAAGTCACTTTGAACACCAATACTTTGAGAGAGAGGAAGAGAGAAAGTGATTCTCGTTTTTACACAGGGCAGCAGCAGTAAAATCGATAGTGCAGATTCGTTCATCGTTGGATCGGGCTAAAATTTTTACAGCAGGTTCGGGTCATTTGGTTATTCATTTTGAACGATTGGATCGTTGAAACGAGGTCTAAGTAGGGAGATATTCAGTTCGCACTGTAGCTGTGTATTTGGGGTTTTTTCATCTTCCTTGTTCTCTATTTGTAAGCTTTATTGTTTTTTTGTTTGGCTGGGTGTTAGCACTATTTTGTGCAGTTGATAGAGACTCCTTTGTACTCTTTGTTGATCATAGTGGAGCTATTTCTTTGGTCTGGATGACTCGTGATTTTTACCCTTGCTTTGAGAGATTTTTCATGTTAAAAAATTTGGTGTCTGTGTGTGATTTTTGGTGATTTATTATTGTTGTTCATTGGTTTTTGCTCCTCACAGATTCTTGCAAGTTAGGAAAATTTATTTTCGTTGCGATAATTGTTTGAGTTTGCTCTGTGTTGTTATTGTATTGTTATTTCTCCATCAACTATTTTTTTTATACAAAAATAGTGTGGTTAGTAAACTCGCTTTGGATTTATATATAAATAAAAAATGTTTAAAACTTTTTGGACTGAAATATAAATAAATATCGATCAAGTCAATTTTATTTAATATTTTTAATCCAAAAATATTTATAGTAATAAATGAGAACACTATCTATTATGAATGTAGTTAAAGATGTTTTAAAAAATGTAGTGCATATTTTATGTGAAATTGTAAAAATTAAATGCATTAATAAACTTTCTTAATTTGTATAAAATTAATTATTTTTACTTATATATAAATTCAGAGTTAGTCTTATCTTGTCATGTCAACAAATTGTATCACATCATCAATAATTTAGGAAGATTAAGAAAATAAAAATAAATAAATAGGAACTACAATTACGGACAAAAAATATATTTATCTTAAATTACATATTAAAATAATATAAACATATATAATTATTACATGAAAATTTATATCTCGGTTTTTCATGTCGAACTTTAGAGATATAAAACTAATCAATATTTAATTAAGATCAAGAACTGCAAGTGTTCATAGGCATTGGGTAACAGATGTATAACTGAAAAAGGTTAGGTTTAATGGCCATTTTCTCATCAAAATTATTGAAATTTTACTGTTTATACGTCGATTTCTATGCATGCATATAAAAAAAGTATTTGTATAGAAACATTGTGTCCAATTTAATATTTTCGTTTCAAAGATTTAGTCCGTTAGTGAACTAAAGAATACTGTTAATATGCACCAATACATTAGAGTATACTATTTTATCATTCTTTTGAAACATTCTAGCAAAATTCTCAACTGAAGATATTATTACTTTTTTATCATAGTAGGAATCATTCAATAAAATCATCTTATTTTCTTCGCAAGTTTATCCTTTTGGACAATCGGAGGATGAAATCCCCCACAAATGTAAATAAAATGGTCTCTACATACATTAAATTCATCGAGCTCTATCAATATTTTTGGATGTCTATAAAGAAAGAAATAGACAATTTCTTTTACATAACAAAAAATAATATAAGGATCTATCATGAGAGAATCTATTTCGCACTCACCTATAAAGAAGGATCGTTTATTCGTTTAATGAATCGCTACAAAAGTAATAGCCTGAAATTCATTCTTTAAAATTGCAAAACATTAGTTTTGCATCGTTTACATTAATCATGCTATGGAAGTTTAAAGAGACTTGCCGGTATATAAAAATACTGACCTAAGAACTGCACTATTACATTCATCACTGCATTAAACAGTAGAAAATATTTTTAAAAGTGACAATTCTGTAATGGAGATTGCTGCGCCACCGCCACAAAATTAAATAGTTTAGGCATATGCTTACATCTATTTGTATGCTAATGCCCAAAATCATATTTGGCACCACCACTTGATATCCCTTTCCGCTCTTCTTCCTCTAATCTTTTATTTTAAACAATCAAACCTTTATTACCTTTAGTGGGAAACAATGGCCTATCCAGAATTTCTATCACCCCCAAAACCAGACTCTAGAAATCCAGTTTTCTCCAGATGACTGACATCACCCCACACTTTTAAGGTCCATTTGTCCTCACCATAGAGGTGAAAAACACTAACACATGTATTGAGTATGTTCCCAGGCCTTCCATTTGGGCGGGCCCATTTGTAAAGTGCTCTGATGAATCCTCCATGGCTCACAACGATTACTCGCTCCCCTGCAATTAACATGGCTAACATCAGCCCAATGTAGAGTGAACTTTGAAAAAGGATATAATATCTACAAAACGTTATCTAAATCAGATTATTGCATGTCAAATCAATCTAGCTAGCCGGGTTGGGTGGCAACTGGTAAGACAGGGATTCATCGAGATTATTGCATCATTTGCATGAACTAAAAAGATCTCAGATCAAACCAATGATTAATTACGAAAAACATAACTTCCATGAGATGTCATGATGGAAGAACTTCACTGATAGCCTACCTTTATGCTTCAAGCCAATTCTAAGCAATGCAGATGTGCTGCGGTCATAAAGTTGAACGAGACTTTCTCCACCACCCTGCACAATTGTATATGGATCAATGTTATGTATATGCAAAATTTAACGCATTCAATATATTCATAAAGTGCCTATTTGCATGTTTGCCCAGTGGATAAGTTTTTTGCATTAGGAAACATTGACTTGGAAAGTGTGATTCTACCTTAGGAAGTGTGGAAACTCTAAGAAAAGAAAACTACCATAGCCAAAGTCATAAACAGAATAACAAACAGCTAGTCTTGAGAAACTATTATCTACATGTATGTATCCTCGTTTCTGCATTAAGCGAAAGTATTAGCCTGTGTTTGGTAACAGATTAATTTAGAGAAATAATTGCTCGTTTTCGCTCTTTTAGAGAATTAATAAAACAAGTGATTGTCTCTCCAAAATAAACTGAACCAAACATACACTTAAAATGGATAAATAAGCAAGTTCTACATCTAACAGCTTTTAAAATGGATAATGGTAGAACCACAAATATGAAAGGGGTCCAAATGGGCTGTTATCACGGCAGCTACCCAAGCCCGGAGTGTATAGCAAATTTATGCTATAGAAATAGAAGAAATAGCAAAGGGCGGAGTGGGAATGTCCAAGTGGCAAGTGGCAGGGAATGAGAGAGTACGATAAACCATGCAGGGGATGAGAGAAAAAGGTATCTAGGAGAGTCATTTAAGTTATGGGCGGAGAACATTTGTAATTTGAAGGAGCTTAGCTCTGGGCAGTCAGAATACTTTTACCTATGTAATCTTTCCATTTCAAAAATTATACACTTAATTTCATAACTGATGAGCTGTGTTTTGCCTTTTAATTGTAACTGGCTAACTGCTATTTCTGGTTTCTATCAGATGATGATCTAACCATTATTTAAACAACCATTTTTGTTCTAACCAGGTATCTGTTATTCTTATTTTACTATGTCACATGATATCTGACATATTTCGGCTGCTGCATTTCAGGAAGCCAGCAGTTACACTCATCTTCTTCCTAAGTATTTGGACATGCCCAATGGAACTTGAAGAATTTTCCTAGGCAGCCTACTCTTAATTTACACTCTTTACATTGGTAGTTTATTATCAAGCAATTCCATGCTTACAAGTTGGTTTTTAGGAAACTTACTGGAATTTCTTCATCTTCATTCCTAGACATAAAAGCCTTGTAAGAGGTGGGATGAACTTTTTTCATTTCATGAAAATCACAGCCTTGAAGATCCCCTAGGTGTCTTTCACGTAGGTTGGAATCCTTGACAACCTAAAATTTCAACCAAAGGAAAATATTGTTAGGAAAAAGAATAGGTGATAGATCAAAAATACTAAATGAGTAGCATTAATAAACTGATAAACACTGGAACATAATAGAAAAAACCGAATTTTATTCAAGAACCCAACTGCAGTTCAGAGTAGCAGCAGAAATTGGCGATATAAGTGAATGCTGAATACAGAAATGGGCTAGGGAGTTTTGAGAGCCCCAACATCACTCATTTCTACAAAATGAGATACTCTTTCCCTTTCTT